TAGGAACTTTGGGAAGTTGAATTACAGATTCAAAGATACTATGGGCTAGCTCCTCCCTGCAGGAGGCTGGTTCCCAGGAGGCCACACTTTCTCCTTTCTCCTGTGTGTGTAATGTGGGAGACTTGTTCTGGCCCTCCAGCAGAAGCCCTGTGCGGGAAGCCTGGCTCTGGCTGCTCAAATCGCTCCTGGCTATTTCGAGAGCAGCCCTGTCCTAACAGCCATTTGCTCATCCAAACAGCTCTAACCCTGTGCAGGCAAGCACGGCATACACCAAACAGACCTCAAACTCCTCTTCCTCACCCGACACAAACGTAAAGATATTCACATTGTCCCAGGCGTGGGTTCCCTGGAGCACCCCAACATAGGAAAGGCACGGACCTGTTGGAGCGGGGCCAGAGGAGGCCATGAAGATGCTGCGAGGGCTGGAGGCCCTCTGCTGGGAGGACAGGCTGGGAGAGTTGAGGGGGTTCAGCCTGGAGAAGAGGAGGCTCTGGTGAGACCTTAGAGCCCCTTCCAGTGCCTAAAGGGGGTCCAGAAGATCTAGGGAAGGACTTTTTAGAAGGGCATATAGTGATAGGACAGGGGGGAATTGCTTCACACTGGAAGAGGGGAGATTTAGATTAGATATTAGGAAGAAATTTTTCACTCAGGGGGGTGAGCCCCTGGCGCAGGTTGCCCCAGGAAACTGTGGCTGCCCCATCCCTGGAGGTGTTCAAGGCCAGGTTGGACGGGGCTTGGAGCAACCTGGGCTGGTGGGAGGTGTCCCTGCCCAGGGCAGGGGGGTGGAACTGGATGATCTTCAAGGTCCCTTCCAACCCAAACCATCTATGATTCTTTGATTCTACGAAAAAACATTACAAAACAGAGGATGACAAGCTCCAGCCACCCGCCTTTCAGAAATATATATATGCACATCACGGAAGCATAACAAAACAAAATATACTTTATTAAAATTAAGCATGTTAGCACCTCAGTGTAACCTGGAGAAGTCAAAGAGTCCAGCAGTTAACCAGTCCAGCAGGCCGAATGGCTGAACGTCCTGAAGTGCATTCCAATGGTAGAAAAAAGTACCACGACGGTTACGACACGCACGTTCTCAAGAAGCTAGGACGCACAAGCCGTCTTGTTTGTAAGGGGAGACGTTGTGCTGCCTATTGTCTTGATGGGAGCGTATAGATCTGCTGGACCACTTACATACGTTAAATCAGATGGTGTAGCAGGTATCTGCTTTCCTTACCGAAAAATAAAAATAAAAACCCAAAACAAGCAAACAAACAAACAAAAAAATCGCTGCTTACGTGACTCGCAGGGAAATCAGCATACCACGGAGCTGAAGTTAAGAGCTACATATCAGATTGGAGAAAATAAATTAAAATGAAATAACGGGAAATACTTAGTACATGAATAGACCTGTAGTATCCTTACGGTTGACCATCCAACTCAGTACACACGTTAATAGAAAAATGACCCATGCATCACATACCAGGCCGAGACAACCAACGCCTTGAGCTGAACGGGCTACATGATCAATAGAGAAACCTCGGGCTACCAAATCCCATTGCGCTCTTTCGTTCGGTCATACAAAGTATCGAAGCAGACAGTTGTAAAGCTACATTAGCCAGTGTTACAAAGATTACAATATTTTCAAACTAACGATACTTTTTTTTTGTTTACATTTAGAAAATACTTCTAGAAAATGTAGTAAAACTGACATCCCGATCTACCGAGCATAACACACTCTGATTGCAGGAGAAAGGTCTCGCAGACCCGGAGGACACCTGGGCGTTCCTCCCTCCAATGTCACTATGGGCACACTGTGGTGAACTGCCTTTTGTTTTCAACATCCGTTGCTAATCAAAGCCATATCCCCTAAGTACGAATCGCCACAGGGCTCTGCAGGTGCACCAGATACCCTCCTCTTCCTGCTCTGAGGTATCTGTTGCCCCTGCAGCACACATTCAGGCCAGACGAGCAGCCTCGCTGCCTTCTCTCCACCATCTTTCTAGCCAACATCGTTTTGGTTTCCTGTTGCTGAAAAGCGAGGGGACTAACGGCTGGCTAGAAACAGAAACTACACAATCATTCCACGTAGATTTGTTACAATACTCTTAAATCTGGGTTTAGAACACGCAAGCACGTTTCAGTAAGGTCTTGCTTAATGTACAGATGATGAGTCACGCCCACTAGTTTAGGATTAGACAGCCAGGGTTTGCAACCACTGCAGATAAACTCGCTTCGCTTCTGTTTCATCCCGGTTCTCTGAACGAAAGCCGAGGATTTAAATTCCAACGTGTTACAAAGCCTCTGTTTCATTAGAGGGAGTTCTTAAGCCAACGAGATAAACTACAGCCATCAAATACCACCGGGTTCTCGGTACCGGATCATAAATCCTTGCTAGCTTTGAGAGCATCGAGACACCTGTAACAAATATGGATGTACTGCGGAGAAAGCAAAAACTACATAGTACAAGAGCACTCTTTAATCTGGAGATTCTTTCACGCTAGAAACAGCAGTTTTTTATGGCATCAGTAATTTACTGAAGAAACACATCACCCTGACAGGGTTTCTAAAGCTTTCCTCATGCCTCTGCTAAGCGAGGCCAAACACGACATCGTTGTTGGTTCCTGTGAAGGTTCCTGTGTGCCAACCACGCTTTCAGACATTCCTTCTCCAGGGGGTAGTGTTGCTGCCACCTCACTTAGCGCACAGCCAGTTTATTTGCTGAAAACTGATAACCTACGTCCACTTTGTGGTGACATGGGTCCCATCGACACTAAAAGAAGCGCTTTCCGCTGCTGCCAGATGGGCCTGGTGTAGATGGGACGTCAGTGGGCGCCCGCAGTGCTAGCTCTGGGATAACATGGGATGAATAACGGGGCTCGGCACTGAGCCGACAGCAGCCGCCCCGTTTGGGCAGGGGGATCCGACGGCTGGGGGCTGCTTCGGCGGGGGCAGGAGGGAGCGGGCAGGGAGAGCCAGGGGGGGGGGGGCCCATCCCATCTCCGCTCTGTCCAGGCACCTCACCGAGGGTGGCAGAGAGCCCCGTGCCGAGCTGGGCCCCGGTGGCCCTCAGAGGCCGTGGCGCTTACGGGTGCCGGCGCTGGCAGCGTGGAGGAGCCGGGCCTTCTCCCGGGTCTCCCT